AAATGTCTGCCTCTAACAGAAATGCACAGTGTACACCTACGTATGAAATTTTGTTTTAAATCTCTAAATGCTTGTGTGTTGTTTTTCAACACATGTGTCGCTTCTTGAATTTTGTTCCTCAATGAATTTTCATTTGCACATTCTTGGGCGAATGTTATGTCTTTAAAATATCCCCAAACAAAAAAATCAATGGGGTTGAGGTCAGGGGAGCGTGGAGGCCATCGTATCGGTCCGTTTCGTCCGATCCATCTGTCTGGGAACCTTTCGTTTAAGTAGTTTCGCACGATCGTTGCGTTGTGGCATGGTGCACCATCATTCTGGAACACCATGTTCCGTCTGGCTTCCAGGCTTGAATCTTCCAGCAATAATGGTAGGCTATTTTCAAGGAAGCTTTTGTAGGCTACCGAATCCTTAGAATACCACGAACATCGATACAAAATATTCTTCATGAAGAAGGTTATCATGCCTATCATGTTCAAAGAGTTCAAGCGTTGATGCCTTCAGATTACCAGTTAAGAGTGGATTTCTGCGAGACAATGCTGCGAAGACAACGAGAGGATCCCGATTCTTTTGATAAACTTTTATGGACTGACGAGTCACGTTTTGAAAGAACAGGGATATTCAATATCCATAATTTACATACTTGGGCTGTTGAAAACCCCCACCAGTCAAGGCCGTCGACATTTCAACACCGTTTTAGTGTGAACATGTGGTCAGGAATATTCAATATGGAATTTATCGGTCCATTTGAACTGCCGTCAAGGTTGGATTCGGTAGCCTACAAAAGCTTCCTTGAAAATAGCCTACCATTATTGCTGGAAGATTCAAGCCTGGAAGCCAGACGGAACATGGTGTTCCAGAATGATGGTGCACCATGCCACAACGCAACGATCGTGCGAAACTACTTAAACGAAAGGTTCCCAGACAGATGGATCGGACGAAACGGACCGATACGATGGCCTCCACGCTCCCCTGACCTCAACCCCATTGATTTTTTTGTTTGGGGATATTTTAAAGACATAACATTCGCCCAAGAATGTGCAAATGAAAATTCATTGAGGAACAAAATTCAAGAAGCGACACATGTGTTGAAAAACAACACACAAGCATTTAGAGATTTAAAACAAAATTTCATACGTAGGTGTACACTGTGCATTTCTGTTAGAGGCAGACATTTTGAAAACCTCTTGTAAATAACATAAATGAATAATAATCTGCTGTTCAGTAAAAATCAAACGTGTTTTTGTGGTTTTTGCAATTTTTTTTCCGAAACTAACAATTTCTATTGAGCAGAGGGTTATCCAATTTTGGGTTCGGTTCTATTTGAGCCACAATTACGGTAGCATGTAGTAAAGCTAGGTTGATGAAATTTTTACGGTAAATAGCTGATACCGTAAGGAAGTTTTTAAGATACTTACGAATAGTAAGAACATGTTTTTTCAATTTTTTATAAACGTTCAAAGTTGTTGCACTTTTTTACTTTTTTGTTATGTTCGAAGATTTTGAAAAAAATTAAAAAGTAGTATTAGTTACATGACTTGAATGATTATATGATAGTTAAGCCTTAGGTCTTAGCTACATAATCGTGAAAAAAGCAGGCATTTATCACAATTATTAACGAAGTTATGGTAAGAATAAACACAGAACTCAAAAATTCTCGAAAAATCCGAAAAAAAAATCATAACTCCTAAACTAAACAAAATCGGACCATATATATGGGGGTGATTTGGGTTCCTCTCGATGTGGGGAATCTAATTTTTTTTTATGACGTCACGTGTTTGGCCACCCTGTATATATATATATACAGGGTGACTTCGAAGTTGAGTCATTTATTTTAACAGTGAGTAGATCTGATCAAAAGAAATGTTTTTTTCCTTTACCATTTTTCTGGTAAAATTAAAGTAACAAAGTTATAGCCCTTTGGAAGTTTGAGTACCGCCCTGCCTATTATATGCTCGTGTTTGGCGACAACGGATATAATCCGCCTGACCGGTTCATCGCATCGGAAACAAAAAAGCGAAAGAATTTGAAACGTTTATCACGATGTTTTTCGTCAGTCGATAACGCGTTAGTGAATAGTAGTGTGTTGCGTGGCTCAAACGAAATCAAAAATGGCCCATGTTTACGAAAATGCTGAACTTGTGGACATGATTCTTATTTACGGGAGGGCAGTCTTTACAAAATGCTCCCGGATGCATCACGGATTTATGCGAATCGGTTTCCCAATCGAGTGCAACCAACCCCTCGTGCCTTTGTTAATGTAGTACAAAGGGCTCGTGAATCAGGTGACTTAAGACCTCACAGGTCAGGGCAGAGGGCATGCTGCTCCAAGACCGCACGATCAAATACAGGTCCGCACTGAAATACTTGTCGGGACGATACTTTATTAAACAAGGTAACATTTTTTTTTTATTATTTTTTTTATTTTTACACACACATATTTTGGTTTATCTTCGGTCTACAATCATTATCTGAAAATTAATGACTCAACTTCAAAGTCACCCTGTATATATATATTTCTTCTTTAGAAAAATTCATTTTCAAACCCGTTTTTAATAATAATTCTCACAAAGGTAATTTTGACAGTTTTTAACTAACCAACAATTCCAAGGACGATGCGATATTTTAAGGAATTAAGACGTTCCATAGAAGACGTGCTAATAACCGAAAAAATAGCCGTAAAAACCTTATGTGTCTAGTATCAAAAAAAGCTTATGAAAAATTGAATCCAAATTTGCACAAATATCCAGGGTGATGTATTTGAAATTTTTGAGGTAAAAACTGCAATTTTTATAAAGGTGAAAGGTTAAATAAGGTGAAAGCTGAGGTGTGTAAGTTTTTTTTGATACAAAATTCAGCACTCCAAATTTGAAAGTGACGGAATGAGGGGTTGCCGAAATGGGGGGTTTTTCTAGACAAAACACCTCATATCTCAGTAGCTAATTACCAAAACCCCATAGTATGTTATATCAATTTTCTTCTTATATCAATTTTCTTCTTTTGAATTGGTTTATCCAAATATGCAATAAAATTTGAGGCATTCTATTTGAAAAATCACAACTTTGATATGTAGGTCGAAATTGGCACATCCTGTATAATGGCCAACATTTTATAAATGTGCCCTCAAATGTCATGTATAACATGCCATAAATAGATTTTCCCAAAATGTATTTGTTTATGAGTAATATTCCGTCCACACATGGATGGGCGACCCTGTATATATATTTAACTTGAGACGTGGTCATGGTCGTCTAGTCCAGTTAGGTGAAAAATAAAGCTTCCTCCTTTAGTTGGGTACTTCGACAAAATTCAAGCAATGAGGACTCTTTATACTTTATTAGTCTCTAGCTTTCAATGGACTATGCCATCATCATCAGGAGCTGCAGTAACATTAAGAAGAATTAACAACTATTGTGAAAAATGATTTCAAATTACTTACAATAGTATGTGAGGTTGTTGCTAAATGTTATTAAAGGTTAAGTTGAGGGAAACCTTTAGTAACTTGGTGAAAGCTGGATCTATGGTACATGCGTTAAAATTAGTATAAAAAAAAATCCCAACTTTGATATGTAGGTAAAAATTGGGACACCCTGTATAATTGCCAATATTTTAGAAATATGCCTTCAAATGTCATGTATAACATGCCATAAATAGATTTTTCCAAAATGTATTTGTTTATGAGTAATATTCCGTCCACGCATGGATATATATATATATATATTGGTGGACTAAATACAAGACAATGTAACCAATTACGCATATGTACCTTTTGTGAAATACAATCTATCCAGGAAGTCTCCATGGTATTTAGGGCCAAACATTGTTAACAATTTGCCAGCAGACACAAGGATTGCCAAAAATACGAGCTTTTAAAATAAAACTTGAGCAGCTTCTTATAAAAAATGTTATTACGCCGTCTCAGGATACTGTGCTTTATAAGATTTCAATGGATTGTAGATTATTTGTTTATGTTTGTTTGTTTTTTATATTTTAAATTTTGATTTCATTTTGACCAGTTCTATACATTGTATGTGCCGGACAGAACAATAAACTATTACTATTACTATCTGTCCAGTAATACCTTTATAACTCGAAAAGTACCGCTCAAATTTTGATGAAATTTTGATACAAATTATCATTTGCTGCGTCTACCGCAACGAAAATAGAAGTTAAACTTGTCGCAAACTGGGCGCTGTAGCTGGGGAGGTTGCGATCTTGTAATACATGTATCAAATGTAGGATGTATAGTTATTATCCTGGGTCCTCAACGCCGTAGACATTTTTAGTTAGGCTAACTTGTGCGAAACAGTCTTTTGTGAACTATTGACATCGATTTGTCGGAAACCCTCACAGAAAGTAATCTAGGGTAATTAAGTATAGTGATCATGGGGCACAGATGATATCGCCCAACAGCGAGATCAAACTCCTACAATTTTCGCAAAACATTCATCGCTTGTCTAGTTGTGTCTAGCTGTTCCATCCTACTGGAACATATTCGGGAGGCTATTAAAAAAATCTCCTTCCAAAATCTATTAAAAAAATTGAGAATGTCATCAAGAGGACTGAGAGTTGTGCATCTTTTACAAGTGGGCATTTATACGGTGTCATCTTTGACACATAGCTTTGAGATAAAAAATAACCGTATAGCGATTTTAAAGATGGTTAAGTGCGAATGGCGATTGGCCAAAATTAACCATTTTGTAACTGTACTGTATGAATTTGTTACAAGGTTGATTGAATTGAATTGCTTATTGGAGTAAAAAGTCAGTCATTTATATGATATATGTATATATATATATATAACTTTCAAATGGTGCATAGGAAATGGATTTCTGAAAGTACCTAAATCATAAAATTTTGCAGTATTGTGCTGTTACCAATAGTATCCGTAGTTTTCTAAAACGAAAGATAACTTCATTGCGAAATATACTGATATAATGATGTTAAAAATGTATAAAATTTTAATGGCCATTCAATATTCCACTTGATTGTCACAGTTCCACTTATTAGCTTATCAGAAAATTATTTTGCAACTGCATACTCGTCGGTGCATAATGCTTCCACTCTTTTCTCAACCACTCGACTTTTTCTGCACATCTGCAATGAGTGGATCACAATTCTGTAGATAAGGGAACAAGCTATAAATTAGACACGAATTTGTCGATATCACAGAAAACTAGAACCATTCAACATGAAGGTCCTTGTGGTGCTAGCTCTTACTTTGGTTGCTGTGCATGCGGCTTCTGACCAGGAGCTGTGGAATCAGTTCAAGGTAAGTACAAACTTTGCTCCGAGACATCAGCCTCTGCCAGTAGTCTGTATGAATAGCCAATTATTCGTCTATTTTTGGTATAATGAAGACTTGTAGTAAATAGTATGCTAAGTGACAAAATTATTGTTTTGAAACAAACAATATTTTTTGTTCTACAATCAATATATTAAAAAAACACTCTTAAAATTATTAAAGTAAGTATTTTTTGTGTACTTGATAGTTTCGGGAACTTTTTATAAGCAACAGCAGAAAAAAATTGTAACAGTTACAAAATCATAGAATGTGCTAAGTGCCATTACAAAAATATAAATATTGTGGTAGATAATAACCAAATAATAGTAAAAAATAATAAGTTTAGATTCTAATCAATATTAGTAATCATTAGATCTTCATAAAGTTGTCTACTTTCTTCCTTCAAATAAGGGCTTATTGCCAGTAGATCTTGTTTTTTTTCTCCAGAAATTCTACTTTGGCAGGTAATTTCTGCGATAGTTTCAATAGTAACATTTATCTTTAAAATCTTCGTTGTTTTCCGAAGCTCTATCTATTGGCACTTTTACCGGCGGCGTTATAGCAATTGACAAGCACGCACACTGTTGGAATTTTTTCAGTACAATATGATAGGCATGGCACCTAGCGCTTTATCTATGTTGTTGGTTATGGCACGTAGAACATTTTACAAATATAAAATGAAAACCCGATTTTTTTGGCACTTAGCACATTATACACTTCAAGCCTTCAATTCACCCATTCCTGCCAGTGCACTACAGTTTTGACAAGATTCCCATAGTTCTTATCCAGCAGTTCCACAAAATTCGTACTAGGTATTGCGTGGAGTTGAAAATTAGTAGTGACTACTTCCAGAATATAAAATGTTTTATATTGTTAGTTTTACCTTTGAACACTCTATTCAAACCTTATCTACGTGTACTCGATAGCCCTCTGTTTTCGTTGGTCGTAGCGTACCCAAATATTTAGAACAGAAGAAAAGAATATCTATTGAACAAACATAACAAAAAAATGGGTACGAGATGCATCCAGATTGCTGAAGAACGTCCCTGAGCAAGATTAGTATAATTAATGCCACTTTCATCGTGAGAAGGTATGGATTAGTGGTCGAGTAGTCGTTTCGCCTTATAGTACAGAGCGCGAGAGCAATATCATTGGATGTTAATTTAGGGAAATTAACTCTTAACACGTGATGCTCATAAGGTTAGTTAGAATGAAACATGGGTTCAAGAATTCATTAAGTAGACTATACAGCAGTTTGATTGACACAATACAAACTTATATAAAGAGAAAAAAAATGTTTTTGTAGCTGAAAATATGTACTTATTTTAAATTACCTCGTTCAACTAAGCAGTGACAATGTTATTTTCAATAAAATGCTCAGTGACTGCTGTCATATCAATCTATGGTATTAGCCTTGATCGATGATTCAAGCAGGCAGCAAATCCCTATTTTTGATTGGTAGAATTTGGGTCTCTGTCGCAGATTTTGTGTTCGGGACGAGTTGAAAAAATAGGCCTTTGTAGCCAAATCAGGTGATATATGAAGTGCTTTTGATTTAATGTGAGAATTAGGAACCCATCTTACACAAATCGTATATTTTTTTTTAGTTTGAAAGACATTTTACAAGAAATCCATATTCATTACTTCACGAACACATTCTCATTAGTCAAATTCGGGTTATAGGTGCAAATGTGGCGCCGTGGATTAGTAAAATCAGGCTTAGTGATACGAGTGTTTGAAGATCGTGCCCTTATATTTTTTCACGGGGTATGAATGAGATTCGGAATTCAGGTACGATTGTAGATCCCAATTTATATATGAATAGAAACACAATTAAAGTAAACATGATTACAATGATCAAGCAACTGCGACCATTCAGCGCATAACTAAAATATATCCCTACACACAGGAACAATTTCTAATCTCCCTTTGCCGGGTTATACTTTTACGTTTTATCCGTTTGATTGGAGCAACTAAAATTTGGATTTTCTTCCAGTGTAACGTCCTGTAGAATACGTATTAAGCCCTTGCGGAAACACATTGGTATAATCTTGAATTTCTCGGGATGATCTGAAGCGGTCTTTGCTTAATATTTTGAACATCAACTATTCTTTTGTAAATCATCAAGGCGATTTAAAAATTTCGACTTAGAATAGCCCGGTCTTTCTGACAAAAGAATGCGGCCTGCATACTTTCGCGGGATAAACATAATATCCCTGAGCTATTCCAAATCGAAATTTTGAACGAGTGTATGCGCTATTTTCTATAGGGCAAATCATCTTGTTCAAGTTACAATCCTTTTTGTGAAAATGTAAGAAATTCCTTTAAATGCCCGGGTAATTCCCCATAATTCACCGTAACTCTCTACAGTTCACTGCAATTCATCACAATTCCGGTCAGTTCCTCGTACAGCAGAAACACTGAGTGTATATCAAATTCCCTCAGTGCTTTGCTCTTACCGCTAATGATTCTAAATACAGAGTGGCCCATCCATGTGTAGACGGAATATTACTCATAAACAAATACATTTTGGGAAATTCTATTAATGGCATGTTATACACGACATTTGAGGGCACATTTCTAAAATATTGGCAATTATACATGGTGTCCCAATTTTGACCTACATATCAAAGTTGTGATTTTTTAAGTAGAATCCCTCAAATTTTATTGCATGTTTGGATAAACCAATTCAAAAGAAGAGGATTGATATGACATACTATGGGGTTTTGGTAACTAGCTACTGAGATGTAAGGTGTTTTGTCAAGAAAAACCGTCCACTTCGGCAACCCCTCAATCCGCCATTTTAAAATTTAGAGTGCTGAATTTTGTATCTAAAAAAGCCTACATACCTCAGCTTTTATCCTATTTGTTAATTTATCGAATTTTAATTTTTGCTCATAAAGGATGGTCTAAAACGCGAATTGTACTTTTTCTCAAAAAATTCAAATGCATCACCCTGTATATATGTGCAAGTTGGGATTGAATTTTGTATAAGCTTTTTTTGGTATAAGGTTTGATTCAGATTAAATTACTAGATTTTAAGTTACTAAGCTTTTAATAGATCAACACACCAAAATTAAGGAAACAAATCACATCATTCACTAATAACAATCAGAACAGTATAAATCAGCTTCATGCGTAATAGACAAAAACAACTATAACAACAACATAAACAAACAACTACCACTACTCAAGACCTCATCTACAAAAACTGCTCGAAAATATCTCCACGATGTTGAATGTTGTTGGATAAATGACCGTTGCACAACACTCAGCACGTGTTCGCTTATATTCAGAAACGCATCCTTAATCCTTTCCTTCATATTTTCCGAGGTAGACGGTGGATATCTTTAAACCTCTTGCTTAACCTAGCCTCATAGAAAGAAGTCCATCGGTGTCATATCTGGTGATCTAGGAGGCCAAGATATAGGCCCATCACGACCAATCCAACGATTGTTACTCCAGCTGTCCAAATAGTTGCGCACACGATTGTGATAATGCGAACGTGTCCGTCATGTTGGAAGTACATATGCATCCGAGTTTGCAGGTTGACATCCTCCAAAAGCAAAGGCAAATGCTCCATCTAAAAATTCAAGTACTCTGTACCTGTTAATCTGTTGTCGAAGAAGAAAGGCCTGATAACTTGTCTGCCAATAACTCCTCCTCAAAAATTCAAGCTCCATTTGTATTGGAAATATATTTGCCTATCCCAGTAAGGGTTTTTCGTCGCATAATAGTGCATGTTATGCCTGTTGACACACCTATGCTCTTAAAAGTGGCCTCATCGCTAAAAACTACCTTATCCAGGAAAGTAGTGTCTTTACTCACTTTACTTAGCATTCTGCTAAACTCCATTCGAGCTGCGAAATCCTGAGGACGAAGGCCTTGATGCAAGCATAGGTGATATGGATGGTACCTATGCTTGTGAATAATCCTTTGGACATAAGTTCTGCATATATCAGTTTCTGCTCCAATTTGCCGTGCACTTAAATGGGGATTTTCCTGCAACTTTAATAGAACATCCAACTGATTCGCCTCATTGGTGACACTTGGATTACTTATACATTTTTTCACTGCTCCACTTGATGCGAAACGTTCTCGTAGTGTGGAAAATGTTTTCGGCCTTAGCATATTAAGGTACCGTTGTTTATAAATGCGAGATGCTAGGAAACTATTTCTTTGGATTTCGAAACGAACACCATATTCACCATTTCTTCTTTAGAAAAGTTCATTTTCAAACACGTTTGTATTATAATGCTCACAAAGCTAATTTTGACAGTTTGTAACTAATCAACAGTTTATTTGTTTCCAAGGATGATGCGATATTTTAGGGAATTAAGCTGTTCTATAAAGGACGTGCTAATCACCGAAAAAATAGCCGTAAAAACCCTTGTGTCTAGTATCAAAAAAAACTTATAAAAAATTTAATCCAAACTTGCAATAATATACAGGGTGATGCATTTAAAATTTTTGAGAAAAAGTACAATTCGCATTTTTGACCCCCCTGTATGAGCAACAATTAAAATTCGTAAAAGTAACAACTAAGATAAAAGCTGAGATGCGTAAGTTGTTTTAAATACAAAACTCATCACCCAAATTTTAAAATGGCGGATTGAGGGGTTGTCGAAGTGGACGGTTTTTATAGACAAAACACCTTATATCTCAGTACCTAATTACCAAAACCCCATAGTATGGTATATCAGTCTTCTTCTTTTGAGTTGGTTTATCCAAATATGCAATAAAATTTGAGGCATTCTATTTAAGAAACCACAACTTTGATATGTAGGTCAAAATTGGGGAATTGCCAATATTTTAGAAATGTGGCCTCAAATGTCATGTATAACATGCTATAAATATGGATGGGCCACCCTGTATACTTGAAAGTAGGCTTAATGACGTTGGTTCAATGGAATAGGGACCATCTTACAGGCCTTCATTCAACTTGGCCTCGTATGTGAGTGTGGAACAAATTTAATCTTGAAACTGCATTTTGAAGTAGTTCACGTTAACCAATCGAGCCGAAATTTTATGTACACGTTTGGACCGCGTGAAAACGCTTAGTGAAATTAGTGCCGCTAGTTTTAATCCAATATGACTGCTACGGAGCTCCGAATTATCACATCTATGGTAACTCCTATGATGTATCAAATTAAAGGTCTTTATGAGAAAAAACACAGTAGGCAAAGTAACGTCATTCTAAGTCCAGGCCACCGCAAAATGGCGAATTATAATTTCCGTAGTAACTCCTACGATATGGGTATCACATGAAATGGAGTGATGAGAAAAGCACGATAATCAAGTGATGTCATACTAAATCTAATACCGGGCACTCTGCAAATTATCATTAACAGAGTAATCAGTATAATATGGGTATCGAATGCAAAGCCTTGATAAGCGAGGCACGCACAGAAGCCTGCTCTCTTATTATTATATTGCCAACCATGAAATATGTTTTATAATCTGTGGTTTGTTATAGAACAAACATATCACAGCTATGCAAAGACTTGTTTGTAATAATGTATCTTTTCTGGTGTCCTGGCTCAGTAAGATGGCATTTAATTATTTTCGTTTCGTTTTGCTTTCTGGATCATATCACAATCTTAATTCCTTAAACATGGGCCTGCAGTTACAACACTTTATTCCAATATGTGCATAAATTTCAAATTAAATAGGTAAAGCAAACTTGTTGCACTTAGTAAATCTGCAGGCCTAGATGGCAGTGTAGCGCGTATCTAAACAATTTTATATTTCACAAGATTTATTCCAATGATTATAGGTAGACCATGGCAAAGCCTACCGAAGCTTTAGAGACGAACAAGCTCGCTTCACCATCTTCCAATCGAATCTGCGGACCATCGAGCAGCACAATGCGAAGTACGAAAACGGTGAAGAGACCTACTACTTGAAAGTTACCCAATTCGCAGACATGACCCCAGAAGAGTTTAAAGACTTCTTGGCACTGCAAGAAGAATCTAAGCCAAACCTTGATCTTGAGGTGCTTGAAGTCGACAGTACCGTAGCAGTTCCAGACTCATTTGACTGGAGAAGCCAAGGAGTTGTTCTGGAAGTGAAAAACCAAGGACAATGTGGATCTTGCTGGTCTTTCAGTGCTGTAAGTTAATAATAAAATCAATCCTTTTTTTTAAGAAAATGGTTTCGAGTAGATTGTCTCTACACTTCACAAGCAACGCAGTAATTAGATTATGAAGGATTATGTTCAGGACACTATTGACGTAAGACAGGGCGTCATAGACCTTATATCTTCGATGGAGGATAGGAACAGCTGTCTTTGGTTGGATGGCCCGTTAGTTTCTTTCTCAGGTCTATATTTAAATACCGATAATCTTTTGATCGGAAAAAGTATGTTTCAACTTGAAATGGCTTTGGTATCACATGAAAATTGGCCTATCTTGACTTGTACAACTACAATCTATTAATGGATGAAGTGAAATACCTATGTTTTGTAACGATGTTGTTCCTTCCTGTCAGTTGAGCGGGAAATAAAAATAATTTGAACAGATAAGAGTAGATAAGTCTAACTGATCTATGATAATGTAATTTTGGGTTCCCAGAACATCTTTAATTCAATTTTAATCATTATTTTGTAAAACATTGATGAAAGTATGGTGATATACCTAGGAATTTTTAGTTTTGTTTCACAAAAACAGCTAAAAATAGGATATTTGTATAAACCAAAAATTCTGAATTAAGAAACTAGAAGAGGTGCAATCAATGTATTTTCCTAATTAAGTAGCACCATTAATTGGTTTTTTGTTCATAGTGAAACATTTCAATAGTCATCTTATAAGGTGCTGTATTTGATAGAAATGCAGAAACGCGAAACAATCGAGTCCGATCCTGGATTTTTTAACCGTCTGTCTTGTTTCACCTTACTCCTAGCTAACTCTGTTGTACAAAATTTCAGCCAAATCGGTTCAATAGTGCCTGAGACTTATGATATTAAATATCTGAGGTGTTTAAATACGCCACCAGTAAATACTGAATTTGGGACCTTTTTGTTTCCAGATATAAGAAGTTCTCAGTTCATACTACCTACCATCCTACTATGTTAATTTAACTACAGATCACACTGTCTAGCTGTTATCGTAGAAATGATCGAGTCAAAGATATTGTCAAAAAAACTAAGTGTAATTTTGCTAATATATCGACACGATGTAGCAAAGTGGAAATTGGGAAAGAGCAGGTTAAAATCTATGAGTGCATCAACTCTCCAAACTTTCTACGTAAAAATACTTACCTATTGGATTGGACTATTGGCTAATAGCTGTATTGTATTTTTCTGAGTTAATATCAAACATTGATTGACAAAATGAGCTACTCATTTCCCATACTCAAGTTCTCTACTCTAACTTACTAAACGTACATTTTTGTTTTTCAGACCGGCTGCTTGGAGGGTCAGAACGCCATCAAGCACAACCAACATATCTCCCTTTCCGAGCAGAACTTGATGGACTGTTCCAGAAGCTACGGCAACAATGGCTGCAGTGGTGGCCTGATGACCAACGCTTTCTTCTACGTTAAAGACCACGGCATCAATTCTGAGGCCAAATACCCATACGAGGGTAGACTGCAGGCCTGCCGGTATGACAGTGGCCAGAGCATCCTTCACATCGACAACGTCTATACCGTCAAGCAGAGTGAGGACGCCTTGCAGGCAGTTGTTGGTAAGTGGCGTGGTTGTCAGTGTATAATTAAATACCTGGGCGTGAGGTTGGACAAAGGTGTACAGATGACTGAGCACATAAAGCGCACCGTAGATAAAGCAAATATGGTTGTTGCTTCTCTAGCTCGGCTGATGCCGAGCAATGAGAAGCGACGGATTCCGACTGGTGTGTCAAACTCGGTCATGTTGTATAGGGGTCTCCAATCTATGAAGGGGCATTGAAAAGATAGAAATATAGACAACTGATGCTCAGATGTGAGCGGAAGGCAGTACCGCGCGTGATCTATGTCTATAGAACGGAATCGACGGAGGCGCTGGCTGCTGGTCGTGGCTGGTGTCCCGCAAAATGTCTTACTGGCTCAGGAAATATTTGACCGCTATAAAAAGGGGGCGAAAGCTAAAAATGATGAAAGGAAGGCGCTGTATATTTCGTGACTTAGTGGCAGCGAGGATGGGACATGACTAGCCTTGACGCATGACGCATGGACTAGGAATCTGAATCCAGACATCAAGCTCTGGATTGACAAGGGAGATGATTTCTATACTGAACAATTCCTTTCGAAGCTAAGGTGGGTAGGAAGAAGGACATACGCAAACTGCATGTACTTTTGTAACGAAGGGAAGACCTCTGAGCATCTACTAGAATGCAGTAGATAGGTTGACTACCAGAGATAACTGGTAGTGACGTTCGGCTAGAGGCTCACTGCCGACAAATTTGTCAAGCATGTAACTGATTATGAGGAGAATCATGCAGAGCACGGATAGTGAAGATTAGGTTTCTCTTTTTTCTGAGGATGCACATACATACATGTGTATGTATGGAGAAAGAAAAAAGGATGATATAAACATCCTCTGTATGAATCCTAGCGCAACGCTATCCACCGCGACGAGATGCATTTTTGCCAGAAAGTCCTTCATATCAAAAACGTCTCCACCGTCAAAGAGAGTCAGGACGCTTTGAATTTAGTTATTGGTAAGTGGAGTGGTTGGAATATCAACACAAGCGTCAATAAGGTGAATTACCTCACAGTCAGTAAATGTTGGCAATGCTGAGATACAAATTCAACGTATCATTAAATACCTGGGCGTGTGGCTCGATACAAATGACTGAGCACATAAAGCGCACCGTATATAAAGCAAATAGGGCCGTCGCTTTTCTAACTCAGCTGATAACAACCAACGGTAGGTCTAGCAGTGGGAAGCGACTCTGGTTCAGATGTCAAACTTGGTCATATTGTACGGAGCTGCAATCTTTGAAAAGGCTTGAAAAAGAAGAAATATAGGTAACTGAGATACAAAAGCTAAGAATAATGAAGATGGAACATGACTATAGGCCATGGCGCATGGACTATAAAACAGAATCTAGACATGACATTGACAGGGGATATGATTTCTATACTGCGCAATTCCTGACGGGACATGGACGCTTTGGAAGCTACCTAAGGCGGGTAGGAAAAAGGGAACACACAAACTGCGCGTATTTTTGTAACGAAGAGGAGACCTCCGAGCATCTACTCGAATGCAGTAGATGGGTTGACTGCCAGAGCCAACTGGTAGTGACGCTCGGCGAGAGGCTCACTGCTGACAGCTTTGTCAAGCAACGGGTACAAATTCAACCAATTATGAGGAGAATGATGCTGAACACGCTATGTGATGAGAAAAACAGAGGGAAACCAACAATAGGTTTCTCTTTCTGCTGGGGATGCACGTACATATATTGTCCAGGAAGGTGTGCGTCGGGGGAGGGTGATTACCAATGATTGAAAATTGAAGAGCAGGATGGATACATTTAAGGAGGCTCGTTTCACGATTTTGTTTAAGTAAGGTGATTATTCTCACACTAAGGTACAACATTTTATTAAAAAAATTGGCAGACTTGGGACTTGGTCATCTAGGGGGCTCCCTCGCGCCTCGCTGAATCCGCTACCGGTTTCTACGTATCCTTACATCAATAAATATTAACATCTACCAATACTCATACTAGATCACAGATGGTTAGTACGTTATACACCATACGCTCTTGCATACTTTTTAAAACTATTTTACGTTATATTTATACTCTTATTGCCTCCTGTGGCAGCGATATCCAGTCTTGATGCAGCTAAGTGGCGTTAGTGTGAATGGAGGTCAAACTGTCAAAAGTAAGTGAGAAAAAGGCTCATGTTTTGACGTCTATGAACTCAAACAGATTATCAGCAATTTATTTTTATAGCCACACATGACCTCCAAACTAACTACCAGCGGCACATACTGATACATTTCCAGATTACCCCCATTACTTCTGAAACTTATTTTTTACCATGTCAGGGAGACCCCGAGCCTAGACCATGCTGAGGAGTAGCCAAAAAGTACGGAACAGTTATCCGTAGTTGGCTGTCTTTTGTCGGGCGGGCGAAAGCAGAGCATGTTTATTATATTTTGTTCAATGGCAAGTAGATCACATCTACTACACAGCTAGAATTGTCGCCAACTTGCGGTCACGTGCTGGGACTCGTTTGCGGATTGAGATCAATGTAACCGGTACGCTGCAATTCACTGTTTTGCAGTGACCGATTCTAGTGGTAGATTTCGATTTCTAGCTTTACCATTTATTTCATATCATAAATGTTTTAACACAATTAGAACTTTATTAAAGTCTTCCTTGCTCTACTCTCATTAGTGTCTCTTGATTTGACATTTTATTACAGCTCATACTACCTTGTTGGGGTGTGAAGTATTCCTTGGCTTATTAATGTTTGAACCAACGCCTTAGTACAAATTCGACCAGTTTATTTAGCTACTGAAACCACTGTGATGTTCAAAATGGTATCCAGTAGGTTGACCTTGCATTTCCCATGCAACGCTGTCGTCAGAAATTATTGTTATTATAAGAATAAAACTTAACTACGAACATAAACGAAAAAAGAAGAATTAAATAGATCAAGTAAGGCAAACAGGCCAATACAATATTTGTCTGTACAGCCGGGCACAGAAAACAGGCAGTGAAGTATGAAAATCTATGTCTGAGAAAAATGAACTAAAAATTCTGGATTCAGGAGCCTCTGAAACGTCAAATAACAAAGTTTGAGCGTTTTATTTTTTCGTCTTCGTCTATAGGTCCTCCGAAACTGGACCGACTTTCAAAATCTGTAAAGCTTGACAAAGTATATTAATCTTGTGACAAACTTTTTTTGTGATATACATGACATTATAAAAACATAATATCTCATTTTCAGAATTTTTCGCAATTACAATAGTTCCTCGCCACTAGGCGTAAGAAGTAAAAGTCGTGGAGTGCTATCAGAGTGTCTTTTTGTACTTTTTTAGAAAATCCTCAGTTTACTGTTTATTTCATTCTATTGATGTTTTTTATCATTCCAGCACAACTTGGTCCAGTCGCCGTGGGCGTTGATGCCAGCAGCTTTTCTCTGTACGGTGGTGGTGTATTCAACCCAAACTCCTGCTCTTCATCTTCTCTCAACCATGGTGTATTGGCTGTGGGCTACGGTCGTGATGGAAACAACGACTACTGGATCGTGAAGAATTCCTGGGGAGCTGGTTGGGGAGAGAACGGTTACATCAAGATGATCAGGAATCACGGAAACCGCTGCGGTATTGTTTCTATGGCTAGTATTGTTTCACTGAAGTAATTTTTTGAAATAAAAAATGTTAGTAGTTATGCTGAGTTTCTTTTCATATTTATCTTGAGTCTATAAGCCAAAAATAGGTACTCACTCCACTCTCGGAATGTTCGGGTGGAGGGTATGCTCGAGAAAACAACATCGAAGATAAAATTTATTTCACGAACATCTGCGGGATTAACAGCAACATTGATGCCGTTCATCATTACTAATAATCTAATCGTCCCGCCATGCTTTTTTTGGGGGAGACAAAAATCTCAGAGTCTGCACCGATTAACCATCTCAGCTTTCCAAATTACGAGGTGTACTCTAATCTGAGAAAGGGCGGGGGAGTTGTGGCTTTTGTTCGCAGCAGTCTTTCCTGCTCCAGAGATATTTCTTTGGAATCAGACCGGAAGGACATCCTGTGACTTCGTTTCAACTTCAAAACATCCCCCAAATTTATTTGTTGCCTTTATCGCTCTCCGTCAGAACATAACTGGGATGACCTACTTGAATACCTCGTCATCAAGATCGACTTTCTAAAGATCAATCACCCCGCTTCAGAGGTAGTTCTCGGTGATTTCAATGCTCACAATAAACTTTGGTTGGGCTCAAAGAAGACCGATGCAGCAGGTCGTGCAGTTGAAACGTTCACTCTTACTCAAGGGCTGACCCAGCTGGTGACGAGCCCTATCTTTGTCCCCGCGCCTCGTCACATGTCAGTAGCCTGCTGGATCTCTTTCTGACCACGCATCCTGTCCCTTACAGCACTGCTGTCCTGTGCCCCCTGGGTAACTCAGACCACGCTGTTGTGGAGGTTAGGTTACGGTCAGACTCCGCTGTGCAGGCCCCAGAATTTGGCATTACGGACATGCTGACTGGTAGGGGCTCAGAGACTTCTTCTCTACCTTTCCTTGGAGAGGTGTCTGCTTCGCTGGCGCGCATGCGTCGGATGTCTGTTCTTCGATAACCGAGATTATCCACATCGGAATGGAGGAATACATCCCTACACAGTGAAAGTGCTTAAACAAGGGTCCAATGGCTGGTTTAACAAATCGTGTGACACTGCTCACCAGCAGAAGATCAAGGCACACAGAACCTTCTTACGAAACCCCACTGTAGAGAACAGACAAGCTGACGTCGAGTCCAGAAACAAATATAATGAAGCGGTTCGCAATTCCAAAAACCAGTACCACATAAAAGTTAGGCACAGGGTAATGCCGCAGCGCAATGGAAGTCGGTCTTTCTGGACGCTGGCCAAGCATATTGAAAAGAACTTCTCACACAGTAGCCTTCACCACTTACGTGTCAGGATGGAACGTTTGTATCCGACTCAAAGACTAAGGCGGAACTGCCTGCAACGATCTTTGCTGCTAACTCCACCATGGACGTCCCCCCAACGCCCAAGTGCCGTCATTTCCAAGCATTCAGTACACTATGCGGGAGGTTACATTCAGGCATAAGACCATAAGATGAGTGCCCTTGTCGCTCGACATCGACAAAGCTTCTGATCCGGACTCAATTCCTGCCATTATACTGAAGAGGTGTGAAGCGAAGCTTTCTTCAGTTCTTTCGCGTCTCTTCCAGATCTCTTATGAATCCGGCACCTTCGCAGAAAACTAGAAGTTTGCTTACACCCAACCCATACCAAAAATAAAGATCTAAAACCGACCCTTACAACTACAGGCCTATAGCTCTGCTTTCTGTGATAAGTAAGGTGGTGGAGAACTGCATAAGGCGCGAGCGTCTGGACTACCTCGAACGTCACAGCTTGATTAGCGACATTCAGTATGGTTTCCGACACCAGCGATCCACAGGGGACCTCCTAGCTTACGTCACGCAATTGTGAGGTAAACTCATTTAGTCTTATGGTGAGGCTCATGTCGTTGCGCTTGACATCACGAAAGCGTTCGATCAGCAGTGGCACGCTGGCGTCTTAAGCAAATTTCCATCCCATGGCCTCCCAGAAAAGCTTTGCAGATGGGTGGCTGACTTTATCTCTGGTCGCAAGCTATCCGTCGTAATCGACGGGTTCTTCTCTTCATTCCACAACGTCAACGGGGGTATTCTCCAGTGATTGATGTTGGCTCCGACACTGTTCCTCTTACATACCAACAACATCCTTTCCTGCACGATCAACCCAATCCACAGATTCGCTGACACAGCACTCTACATGCAGGAACAAAAAATGCTTTGGTATAAATTTTTTTTTGTTGAAATGACGATCTATATTTCGATGCTTTGACGAAGTGCTTCAGAGATAAAAAAATACATTTTCCATAATTTTGATGATGACTCCACCACAATTTATTGAGCAGTCACAGCGTCCCAGAGTCATTTAGATATTATAATCGGCTGGATGTAGTATTTCAAAGCCTTGCTAAGAAAGTACGTTTTTCTTCATTTAGCAGATGAGGCAGGAGATCGTAACCGTAATAATAACAATAATAATGATAGTAATAATAGTAACAGTAATAATAATAATAAAGATAATAATAATAATAATAATAATAATAATAATAAACCATAATTATATTGCCCAACAGTATACACCATTTACAGAGCAATGGGTCATAAAACACGATTTGTATAATAAATTTACCTAAAACTAACATTAGAAAACTACAAATCGAGACGACACTGGGTCCTTATTTCTGGAAAGCTGCAGCAGAAAGTGACACAGATGTTGTACAGCTTGTTCGCGCTTGTTCACATTTGATTGGAAGGTGCTTTCATAAACATATCTGTTTTTGATCTTTTACAAAAAAAATGTGTAATGATCTCTAACATTAAGTCTCGGTACAAATATATTTAGCTGTGATAATACGTCTATGGAGCCAATTTTGTCATGTAGTAGTGTATGCAAGAACAAAACAGATGCATGACCTCTCTAAAGTTTGAAAATTAAATCCATTCATAAGCATTACATTCGATACATGTTTTTCAATATTGTATATTGTATATTGTAAATTGGGTTCCATATTAGTGAACAGTATTCTAATTTCGACCTTACTAGAATAGAATACAATGAAGTTAGTGCCGACAGATCAGTAAAAAGCTTGCAGTTTCTTATGATAAAACCGTATATCGAAGAGCCCTCAGAACAATTCCATTAGTATGTGAATTGAATGTTAACTGACTGTCAAAGCAAACGGCTAGATCCCTGATTGAATCAGTCCTCTCAAGATCTGTACCATTAATTGTATAGTAGTATCGTGGAACGACGGCTCAAGGTTACTGTTCTAAATTTGGAGATATTTAAATGCAGATGGTCGATTTACGATTGCAGGGCAACACAATATTCTAGGCATGCAATGGACGCATAAATTCTTATATCATCCGCAAACATTTCATCATACATAAATTATATGGACATTATCATTTTTATTTCTACATTCAAGAAGCTCAAACGTCACACAGTGAACACCTAAAAGCTGGCGGAAAATACAATCTCTACTGTTTGAATACTATTTTGAGTATAATATGTTAGTTTGGGTGGGTGATGTGAGATCTGGGATTAATTTTATGCGGCAATTTGAAGGTCATTTCAAGGTGTTGCCAAAAACATTTAGAAAAAAGTCGAACAGTTGAGCCCGACTGCAGATCACTTAGGTCTTACTGGTTAATAGGTCGAAATTAGAGGTCGATTAGTCACTATCAGGGCATCTGATGGTTATTTGAGGGTAACTAATTCAAAATAAGTCTAGCTTTCGAGTCCAGACGCAGGTTACAAAAAAAATAAAGTCACAATAAAATGTCAAGCTTTGAGCTACAAGTGAATTTTTCAATTCTGAAGTTACAAAAAATAAAGGAAAGATTTTTGTTTCTATAGCGAACATGGTATGATACGGATATGAAAAAAATCCAGCTTTTACTACAGCTACTCGCAGGGTTGTAAGTTTTTTTTATTAGTACGACATTCAGTGAACTCGTCGCAACGTCCATGTTTCCGAATAGTCGTCCTCTGTCCAGTGCACAGCTCCCTACGATTGTAATATTTCAGTTAAAATAAGCAAATGGGATCATATGGAATACTCGCCAGCTAGACGGAGCGTCGCATCCGTTTGGAACAGGTTGCAGTTATAGTTTTGTCGCATTTTAATATCGTGTTGCAGACAACAGCAGCACTAGTTAACGTTTTGCTGGGGATACTCTAATGCAACTTTTGTTATTTATAGCTGCGAAGTAAACACTTGCTATGAGGTACAAAGTAAATGTTTTACAGATTCTTAAGTATCTTGAGATAGTGCCAAATAAGTTTGGAGGATCTGCTCCATAAGAACAACAGTTTGGATACAATTCCGGGAATGACATACCAGCAATACAGTTCTTCTTTAAAATTTTCTGCAGAGGTAGCGGAATTATGAGCAAAAGTCGAAAAAAATCACAAGACTTATAAACTCATTTTCTATTGAGCATACCAAGACTACAGTTGTATAAAACTCTACTTCCTCAGTAGACAAAAAGTAAAGTAAAGAATGCAGTATTACCTACAAAACAGATGCATTGTCCACCTGACTTTTTTAAAAATTCCTTGCCCTACCTATGACTCTGATAACAAACATGAATGGACTTCCAAACTTTTGATAATCAACTTTTCATAGTGTCAAAGAAGAAACCTTACATTGAAAATTTAACTGCGCCATTTTGTAGAGAAAAACAGGTGACAAATGGTGACATGTTGCTTATTTTGAAATCCCATCTCAAGTAAACCCAGGAAAGATAACAAATGATTTTGCGATAAATTTTGTATACGAAACAGATCTACATCTATCTGATGATTTCAATGACTACCTAGGAAATTAATAACTAGCGTTTGACAATGTCAATGTATAACATATCTTACATTTCTGGAATCAGAATTAAACACCATATTCACCTGTTTAAAAGTCCAATATTTCATAAGAAAAAAAAGTTTACTCTGGAGGACAAGAGGCGAAACGTCATACTGAATCTGTGATCATGCCATTTTGTAAAGGAGAAAAAGTCGTAACGTTAAAGTGCAATTTATTATAAAATCCCACTACAACAAAGGTCAGCAAAAAAATTAAAACCA